ACTCTTCAAATCACTAAAATAAAGTAGAGGGGAACTGTTAAGCCCGTGAGTGGAAAATGGTCTTGTGACACTTAGACCATGTTGCACTTTTCATTTTCATCATATTACAGAAGCAAAGAGAGCAGAATGCTCACAGGTAAAGGTGGTCTAAGAGACCAATGCTATAACAGAAATAAGGCATAGAAAACTAACTTATACATAGAAGGGTTAAAGGAGGACTCAACTTTCTTTAACAGCCTCCGGACCACCTGACCGCAATGTACTGCAGATGGGTAGCCAGTACAGGCCCAGAAATTATTATTATTATTCAGTATTTATAAAGCGCCAATAGTTCGCTCGCGCTGTACATTACAAAGGGGGACAGAACATGTGACAGAACAATACCAATACAATGCAAAACATGAGGGGATCGAGGGCCCTGCTCTTTCAAGCTTACAATCTAGGAGGGAGGGGATGGTGGCACAGGATGTACCTGTACGATGCTGGCCTCTTCCAGTTACATGGTGCAAGCCCCAGCCCGCCAACTCCCGCTGTGTACAATCAGTCAGCAGGTCTTAGCCCAGGGGTGGGCAAACTTTTTGACTTGAGGGCCGCAATGGGTTCATATATTGGACCCGGGGGCCGGACCAAGAGTAGATGAATGATGTGTATGTGTCATCCATAGTAAGTATAGTAATATTCCCCCATAGTAAGCATAGTAATTCGTCCCCCACATAGTAATTCATCCCCCATATTAATTCATCCCCCATATTAATTCATCCCCCATAATAATTCATCCCCCATATTAATTCATCCCCCATATAGTAATTCGTCCCCCATATAGTAAGTCCCCCATATAGTAATTCATTCCCCATATAGTAAGTCCCCCATATAGTAAGTCCCCCATATAGTAAGTCCCCCATATAGTAATTCATTCCCCATATAGTAAGTCCCCCATAGTAATTCATTCCCCATATAGTAAGTCCCCCATATAGTAATTCATTCCCCATATAGTAATTCATTCCCCATATAGTAAGTCCTCCATATAGTAATTCATTCCCCATATAGTAAGTCCCCCCTATAGTAATTCATTCCCCATATAGTAAGTCCCCCATATAGTAATTCATCCCCCATATAGTAAGTCCTCCATATAGTAATTCATTCCCCATATAGAGTAAGTCCCCCATATAGTAATTCATTCCCCATATAGTAAGTCCTCCATATAGTAATTCATTCCCCATATAGTAAGTCCTCCATATAGTAATTCATTCCCCATATAGTAAGTCCTCCATATACTAATTCATTCCCCATATAGTAAGTCCCCCATATAGTAATTCATTCCCCATATAGTAAGTCCCCTATCCCCTATAGTAATTCATTCCCCATATAGTAAGTCCCCCATATAGTAATTCATCCCCCATATAGTAAGTCCTCCATATAGTAATTCATCCCCCATATAGTAAGTCCCCCATATAGTAATTCATTCCCCATATAGTAAGTCCCCCCTATAGTAATTCATTCCCCATATAGTAAGTCCCCCCTATAGTAATTCATCCCCCATATAGTAAGTCCTCCATATAGTAATTCATTCCCCATATAGTAAGTCCCCCCATAGTAATTCATTCCCCATATAGTAATTCATCCCCCATATAGTAAGTCCCCCATATAGTAATTCATTCCCCATATAGTAAGTCCCCCATATAGTAATTCATTCCCCATATAGTAAGTCCCCCATATAGTAATTCATTCCCCATATAGTAAGTCCCCCCTATAGTAATTCATTCCCCATATAGTAAGTCCCCCTATAGTAATTCATTCCCCATATAGTAAGTCCCCCATATAGTAATTCATTCCCTATATAGTAAGTCCCCCATATAGTAATTCATTCCCCATATAGTAAGTCCCCCATATAGTAATTCATTCCCCATATAGTAAGTCCCCCATATAGTAATTCATTCCCCATATAGTAAGTCCTCCATATAGTAATTCATTCCCCATATAGCAAGTCCCCCATATAGTAATTCATTCCCCATATAGTAAGTCCCCCATATAGTAATTCATTCCCCATATAGTAAGTCCCCCCTATAGTAATTCATTCCCCATATAGTAAGTCCCCCCTATAGTAATTCATTCCCCATATAATAAGTCCCCCATGTGTCAATTCACTTACCTTTGCTCCGCGCGTTCCTCTCGTATTCCCGCGCCGTTCTGGTCTTCAGGGAGGACTGTAGAGGAGAAGAGTTCGTCACGCTGCCCCGCCTACATCCTGGCTGCCCCGCCTACATCCTGACAGCTGCAGAGTCCTGACGCCCGAGAGGAGGGAGGGGGCGGCCATCCGAGAGGGGGGGCGGCCATCCGAGAGGAGGGGAGGGGAGAGGAGGAGAGGAGGAGAGGAGGGAGGGGAGCGGGCGCCCGGCACACAGGAGAGCCGCATCTAAGTTTGTAAAGAGCCGCGGCTTGCCGACCACTGGCCTTGCGGGAGCCTAGCTCCGCGGGCCGGATTAAAAGGTCCGCCGGGCCGTATACGGCCCGCGGGCCGTAGTTTGCCCATTGCTGTCTTAGCCCATGACTCATGGCCAGGACCTGCTGACCAGCTGTGTCCAATCATAGCCTAGAGCCCTTTGTTGACAATCAACACAGGGCTCTGTACAGAGGGAATGATCACTGTTTATTTTCCCTCCAAGGGAAAAGAAACAGATATTTAGAAAAAAAATCATCACATGATTTGTGATATAACCCTTTCCCAGACAAGTAAAATGACAGTGTATAGTATTATCACTGATCACTGTATTAATGTAATTTGGGATGTCGGGTGGCAGTTAGTTCACCCCCCAGTGTCAGTTAGTATCTGATTGCCCGACGCACTATTAGAGTCTCACTAAAGTCACAGATCGCCGCCATTAATAGTAAAAAATGTATAAATAATTGCAGGGTATATACCATTTGTAGAGGTTGTATATACTCTTAGTGGGATTTTTTTTTTTTACCAAAGACATATAGCAAAATAAATCTTGGCCTAAATATATGAAGAAATTAGATTGTTTTAAAAAAACTTTATTGGATATGTTTTATAGCATTTTTAATTGCAGTCTTTTTTGGTTTATATAATTTAAAAAAAAACTGTGGTGATCAAATACCACCAGAAAAAAAGCTCTATTTGTGTGAAAAGAACTATATAAATTTAGTTTGGGTACAGCATTGCACGACCGTGCATTCACCGGTTTAGGTAGAGCACCGCCGAATAGCAAAAAATGGCTTGGTCATGAAGGGGCTAAAACCTTCCATAACTCAAGTGGTTAATATACAGGTAGAACATAAACAAATTTTTGTGCAGAATTTATGGAACAAAATGTTTTTAAAATTACATTTCTATTTTAGTTTTCTCATTGATTTAAAATGATATCTATTATAATTCTTTTTCTTGAGAAATAATCAGGGAAACAATGATCGGTTTGTAAATATGATTTCCAGAATCTACCCTGCAACTAATAAAAGATTCTTTGTTTGAGTGTGAGGCTATGTTTCAGGAAGTCTGATGTCTGGAATATTGTATTCCTAATAAAGTTGATAGATTTTACGTGGCAGTTTCTCAACTATATGCATTGAGATATGTTGGGAAGCCTTGTAGAGACGAGGCAAATCTGCACTCCAGTGATGTGTACTAAAAAAATCTGTAAAACATGCTCCTTTTTTTTTTTTTTCAGTCCAGGGTGTTACAATGCACTGCACAGCGTGACGACGTTATGATAACCATAACGATGAATTCAATACCATTTTCTTTTAAAACATTAGGACTTAAACTGAAAGGCAGAACATGTGGAATAGACTCCCTCAAGAGTTGGTTCTGGCCAGCTCAGTAGATTGCTTTAAAAAAGGACTGGATTATTTCCTAGATACACAGAAAATATAACTGGATACTAACATTTATAGGTAAAGTTGATCCAGGGAATATCTGATTACCTTTCAGGGGATCAGGAAGAATTTTTTTCCCCTGCAGCAGCAAATTGGACCATGCTTTGCTGTGTTTTTTTTTTGCCTTCCTCTGGATCAACTGTGGGTATAGGATTATAACTTTTTTTTCTTTTAATGGTTGAACTAGATCGGCTTTTGTCTTTCTTTCATCCAGACTATGTAACCATTCCTAGTCCCATTATAATAGAACAGCAGCAATTAATCAGCATTCTTAAAGTAAATAAATCCTACTTCTTAAATAATGACGTGTTGCTGAATGTTTAGAACTTAGAATTTTGAAAAGCGGTCAGCAATGGCATAGGTTTTTGATAAACCATTTTCTATGTGCGAAAACTCCAACAGAGTTTCCAGTTTTGCCCCTACATGGTTTCATAAACATATTTAATCCTACAGCATATTAAAAAATAGCACATACATAGACTAAAATTAGAACAAATCTAGTGTATTATGTATAGGCTATTGATGTTTTAAAGTAACATATGTAAATAAAAAGCATTAATAGCTGATTAAACACAAAAGAAACAAACAAGTTTCAGAGTACTGGTTTAAGACCAAGGTGAATGAGAAAGCCAATAAGGAAATCAGTAAGCGCCCAGCAGAAAACACCTGTAGACATTGCAATAGCAGATGACCTGACAGGGTGGCACTACCTGTTATCATTTACAATGCTGAAGGATTTTTGTTGAACCGAGTCGCTACTAAATGGAGTTGGGCGACCGGCAGCTGTGCTGGGTTGGCTCTTCACATCACAAGTGACAATTCGATTGCTGTGATAAGAAGAAAAACATCAAGAAGTATCTCTAGTGATCTAATAAAAATCCTTGACATTTTTAACAAGATGGATGTATCAGCTTTGTTTCCAATATATGAAATGTCTGTTTAGATGCAAAGAAAAAGATGGATAGGCACTTTTCAGGTTCAGTATACCGTATTTTTAGCTCCATAAGATGCACTTTTTTCCCCAAAAACAAGGGGGGAAAATGTCAGTGTGTCTTATGGAGCGGCCGGTCCAGTATTTCGCCGCCACGTCAGAATACCAGGCAGGTTGCTATGCTCTTCTCTGCAGCAGAACCTTACCTGTTCCTTGGTCCAGAGCTGTACAGTCTTCCGGCATCGGCATCTTTAGTGTGGGCACCTGGCTGTGACAGAAGCGCTGCACTTTGTGAATGGTCTGGCATCTTCTGGGACACATGACAGGTCCCAGAAGACGCTGCACCATTCACAAAGCGCAGCACTTCTCACACATGCGCAGTGGGCACCCGGCTGTCACAGCTGGGTGCCCGCACTAAAGGGAGGACAACTCCCTCCCCACAGGTCCACAGTCTCCGGTCATCTCCTGTACTGTGTCCGCAGTCTCCGGTCATCTCCTGTACTGTGTCCGCAGTCTCCGGTCATCTCCTGTACTGTGTCCGCAGTCTCCGGTCATCTCCTGTACTGTGTCCGCAGTCTCCGGTCATCTCCTGTACTGTGTCCGCAGTCTCCGGTCATCTCCTGTACTGTGTCCGCAGTCTCCGGTCATCTCCTGTACTGTGTCCGCAGTCTCCGGTCATCTCCTGTACTGTGTCCGCAGTCTCCGGTCATCTCCTGTACTGTGTCTGCAGTCTCCGGTCATCTCCTGTACTGTGTCTGCAGTCTCCGGTCATCTCCTGTACTGTGTCCGCAGTCTCTGGTCACCTCCTGTAGTACATCCACAGTCTCCGGTCATCTCCTGTACTGTGTCCGCAGTCTCTGGTCATCTCCTGTACTGTGTCCGCAGTCTCTGGTCATCTCCTGTAAAAAGTCTGCAGTCTCTGGTCATCTCCTGTAGTACGTCTGCAGTGTCTGGTCATCTCCTGTACTGTGTCCGCAGTCTCTGGTCATCTCCTGTAGTATGTCCGCAGTCTCTGGTCATCTCCTGTAGTATGTCCACAGTCTCTGGTCATCTCCTGTAGTATGTCTGCAGTCCATTGGTTCAGAATATTTTTTTTTTCTTGTTTTCCTCCTCTAAAACCTAGGTGCGTCTTATGGAGCAAAAAATAGGGTAGTTTAATTTTAACGTATCTAATTGTTAAAAGTAAATTTGCATTTTGTTTTTTAGGAGTTCAATATTTAGGTGTTCTGCAAGAGTCTAGTGCTAATGCTCCTAAAACCTTTTGTATTGAAAGCACATATGACTTTTCTCCTAAGTTTTTTATTTCACAAGCCTCTGTCCATCCCCGACTTAAATATCTCCAACATAAAAACAAGAGCCCTTAATAAACATGTTGAAAACAAAAAGCTGCTTTTTATGATGCTTTTCGTATGAGTCCAGCAGCCAGCATAATTCAAAATTTAGTATATTTCAAACCAAAGACTGACTAGATCAAGTCCTTACAAAATATTTACCCAATGTTATGAGGAAAATATTTTTTTCCTGGTTCCTAAAAATAAATGAATTCATCTTCATAGGTTTCATGAAATTAATTTGGCAGGACAAAAAAAACTGCAAACTATGAAGACATATTTGACTTTATTAGGATATCAAAAAAGCCTGCAGACATATTTATATTCACGTTTTTAAAGTGCACAAAACAGTCAAACCTGAAAAGCATTTGAGCATAACATGCTAACTGGCTGAAATTTCACCTGGTATTCATCTACTGTACTTTTTTCAAATGTATGAGAAAAGGTTTTCTATATCTATTCTCTGAAATTATTTGATGCAGATAATTTCATTTGCTAAAAATGTAACCCAGCATGTTCAGTGGTTCAAGCGTTGCCCTTTCTATGATCCCATTACAGTCTCAACCTGAGATTTGCACATCACTGCATTCTGTTTTTATGTAGATTTTATATGGCTACCCAGCTTTTTTGGAATTGGGGTTGTAAAACTGCTAATTACCTGGCTGTTCTTAGTTTGACCAGAATTAAATATGCAATACATTATTCAGAACACTCAGCTTACATATTTGCTCCAAGTCAGTGACATAGAAAAGTATTGAAGCCACAGGATCAACATAAGACACATAAGAAAGTGGAATGTTTCCTTAACAGTGGTAGTGAAATGGAGGCCCCATGCTTATCCTCAATGATAAACTTTGCTAGTCTACTTTACTTTAAGGTGAACTAGGGTACACTGTGTATACAGAGCATTCATAAAGTATTCAGACTAAATTGTATACAATGCATTCATAAAGTATTCAGACTACATTCACTTTTTTTCAATTTTGTTATGTTGCAGCCATATGCTACAGCTCTTTACATTTTTTGTCTCATTAATATCCATTCAATACACCATAATAACAAAGTGAAAACAGAATTTTAGAAATGTTTGCAAATTTATGAAAAAAGGAAAAACTTCTCCCTCTGCAACAACACTCCTATTTCTCTTGATCGTTGCTGAGATGTTTCTACATCTTGACTGGAGTCCACCTGTGATGCATTAAATTAATTGGATGTGATCTGGAAAGGCATACATCTCTAAAAGGCAACACAGCTGACAATGCATATGGTATCACAGCAAAAGCCAAAAGGTCAAAATGAACTGCCTGCAGACCTCAGAGACAGGATTACTGTAAGGCACAGATCTGGGGAAAGCTACAAAAAAATTCTGCTGCACTGAAGGCTCTGAAGACCACAGTGGCCTCTACAATTCTTGCATGGAAGAAGTTTGGTACAACCAGGACTCTTCCAAGAGCTGATTGGCCAGCCAAGCAGAGCAATCGGGGCAGAAAGGGCCTTCGTAGAGATGTTATCAAGAACCCGATGATCACTCTGACTGAGCTCCAGAGATTCTGTGTGGAGATGGGACAAAGTTCCAGAAGGACAGCCGTCATTGCAGCCCACCACTGATCTGGACTTTATGGCAGAGTGGCCAGACAGAAGCCTTTCCTTCGTGCAAAACACATGAAAGCCTGCAGACTGTGTGGAACCAGATTCTTTGGTCTGATGTAACCAAGACTGAACTGTCTGGCCTCCGTTACAATTGGTATGTCTGGAGGAAACTGCACTGCTCATCACCTGCCTATTGAAGCATGGTGGTAGCAACATCATGCTCTGAGGGTGTTTTTCAGCAGCTGAGATTGGGAGACTGGTCAGGGTTGAGAGAAAGCTGAAAGGAGTAAACTACAGAGATATCCTCAATTAATACCTGTTCCACAGCACTCAGGACCTCAGACTGGGCTAAAGATTCACCTTCCAACATGACAATGATCCTAAGCACACAGCGAAGACAACACAGCAGTGACTTAAGGACAACTCTGTGAATGTCCTAGAGTGGTCCAGCCAGAGTCCTGCTTTGAACCCTATTAAATATCTCTGGAGAGACCTGAAAATGGCTGTCCACCGACGGTCCTCATCCAACCTGACTGAGCTTGAGGGGATTTGCAAAGAAGAATGCCAGAAAATGCCCCAATCCAGGTGTGCAAAGCTTACTGCGTCATACCCAAAAAGACTCAAGCCTGTAATTGCTGCCAAATGTGTTTGGTACAAGTACTGAGTAAAGGGTTTTTGAATACCCAAGTTCATGTGATATTTCAGTTTTTTAGTTTTATTAAATTCACAGATATTTCTAATATTCTGTTTTCACTTTGTCATTATGAGGTACTAAGTGTAGATTAATGAAAAAAAATGAATTTAAACAACTGTATAATTGGGCTGCAACATAACCAAACAGAAAAAAGGGGAGGTCTGAATACTTTATGAATGCACTGTACATTTTTATGCCCACAGACACGAAATGCAATCTCATAAACAGGCAATATGAAATATAGTATGTTATCAGTGTAAGTAAAAAAAAAAAATTACTTGATGGGAAAGTGTAAGTCAAAGAAAGACAGCTAGCTGATTTAATAAAGGAAAATAGTTGCTCACTTTGCAAGGGAATTTTCCCAAGAACATAGTGAAAGAGGTGAAACGCTTTACTTCTGTCATTCAATCATATGCAAGCAAAAATAGATTTTTTTTTAGTTTCCTTGCACATGATTGGGAGTTGTTTGCAAAATAAAATTTCACCACATTAACTAATCTCTGAGGAAAATTCCCTTCCAAAGTGCAATTTCACTTGCACAGTGAACAGTGTTCGATGTGCCAAACATCTCTCTTAAATCAAAGTCAATTTATATTCAAATAGAAGCAACTAATGTTGGTGGGCGGCATGCTGTTAAACTAGTACACTATCACTGGCTTTCTGTTGGTTCCTTAGTGAGCTCTATCTGTTCCAGTAGGAGTTGCCTTTTGCTGCTGCCTAAAGCTGGCCATAAATTGTACAATTTTCTTCTACAATTTTCCTTTAAATATACCAAGACCATGTAATAGGAGGTCAAACCTAAACACTCTAAATTTGTAGGCAGACAGACTTTTGCACCAACATAGTTGAAGGTAAATATGATACTCTCCCGCACGCCCCTGGGGGTGCACACCCGGCGATCTCCATGATCGATGTGTCCTATGGACACAGCTAATCACGTGATATGGTAAAAAGCCAATCACAGCGGCCTTTTACCACGTAATCAGCTGTGTTCAATAACACAGCAGATCACCGATAAAAGCATTTGCCGGTTATCGGCTGCATTTTCCTCACACTGTCATAGCGTGAGGAAAGTACTGTCGATAACTGGCAATTGTCAGAGGACGGATCGGCTTCGATCATCAGGAAACTGATGATCAGTGCCCAGCAGTGCCACCCACCTGTGCCCAGCAGTGCCGCCCACCAGTGTCACCCGGCAGTGCCCATCAATGCCGGCAGTCAGTGTCATCAGTGTCCATCAGTGCCGCCTATCATTGCCCATCGTTGCATATCACTGCAGTATCATCAGTGCCAGCTCATCAGTGCCGCCTATCAGTGCCCATCAGTACTGCCTATCTGTGCCACCTCATCAGTGCCCATCAGTGCAGCCTCATCAACGCACATCAGTGAAGGAGAAAAATTACCTTTTTGCAAATTTTTATAATAGAAAGAAAATAAATTTTTTTTTGTTTGCACAAAATATAAAAACACCCAAGTGGCGATTAAATACCACCAAAAGAAAGCACTATTTTAAAAATTCTAAAAATTTCATATGGGTACAGTGTTGCATGATCGTGCAACTGTCATTCAAATTGTGACTGCGCTGAAAGCTGAAAATTAGCCAGGGCAGGAAGGGGGTATAAATGCTCATTAGGCAAATGATTAAGGAAAGCCGAACAAGAAAATTGTATGATGATGTATGGGCAGCCTAAGAAGAGTGATTCCAGAGTGGAAGTGCATACCCCTGGGGAGAATTTGTGCCCAAAAACATGCTGTGTCTGCTGCACCCATCACAGCTTACGGTTTGGTGAGTGTGCATTTGATTAACCTCTTCACGCTGGCCAAACGCAAATGTGAAGCCTCCTGGCGTCTGGCCTAGACGCCGCGCGGCCACACATTTGCGTTCTATTAAAAAAGAACATATGTGCTGAGAGCGCACTCCCAGCACACATGTCCAGTACTCACGGAAAGGTCCCGATCTCCTCTTTCGATCTGGACTTTTCCCGATCATGTGACCGCCGTGACGCCATGTCACGGCGGTCACATGACCCTAAACCCCGCCCTCCTGGCTTCTGAAACCCTTAAAGGGCAGGGAGGTGCCAGCGCGAAGGGGTTAAAGGTTGTGGCAGTCTGTGTTTTGTTACACTACAAAGATCTGCTGGATGGTGGAAGATCTTTGTTATTGAATATACAGCGGGTAAAGCAATTATTGAACACGTCACAGCCAGTCTCCAGATCTCAACCCAATAGAAAACCTTTGGAGGGAGTTGAAAGTCCGTGTTGCCCAGCGACAGCCCCAAAACATCACTGCTCTAGAGGAGATCTGCATGGAGGAATGGGCCAACATACCAGCAACAGTGTGTGCCAACCTTGTGAAGACTTACAGGAAACGTTTGACTTCTGTCATTGCCAACAAAGGATACAGTCAGGTCCATAAATATTGGGACATGGACACAATTCTAACATTTTTGGCTCTATACACCACCACAATGGATTTGAAATGAAATGAACAAGATGTGCTTTAACTGCAGACTGTCAGCTTTAATTTGAGGGTATTTACATCCAAATCAGGTGAACGGTGTAGGAATTACAACAGTTTGCATATGTGCCTCCAACTTCTTAAGGGACCAAAAGTAATGGGACAATTGGCTTCTCAGCTGTTCCATGGCCAGGTGTGTGTTATTTCCGCATTTATCCCAATTACAATGAGCAGATAAAAGGTCCAGAGTTAATTTTAAGTGTGCTATTTGCATTTAGAATCTGTTGCTGTCAACTCTCAAAATGAGATCCAAAGAGCTGTCACTATCAGTGAAGCAAGCCATTATTAGGCTGAAAAAAACAAAACAAACCCATCAGAGAGATAGCAAAAACATTAAGTGTGGCCAAAACAACTGTTTGGAACATTCTTAAAAAGAAGGAACGCACCGGTGAGCTCAGCAACACCAAAAGACCCGGAAGACCACGGAAAACAACTGTGGTGGATGAGCGAAGAATTCTTTCCCTGGTGAAGAAAACACCCTTCACAACAGTTGGCCAGATCAAGAACACTCTCCAGGAGGTAGGTGTATGTGTGTCAAAGTCACCAATCAAGAGAAGACTTCACCAGAGTGAATACAGAGGGTTCACCACAAGATGGAAACCATTGGTGAGCCTCAAAAACAGGAAGGCCAGATTAGACTTTGCCAAACGACATCTAAAAAAGCCTTCACAGTTCTGGAACAACATCCTATGGACAGATGAGACCGAGATCAACTTGTACCAGAGTGATGGGAAGAGAAGAGTATGGAGAAGGAAAGGAACTGCTCATGATCCTAAGCATACCACCTCATCAGTGAAGCATGGTGGTGGTAGTGTCATGGCGTGGGCATCTATGGCTGCCAATGGAACTGGTTCTCTTGTATTTATTGATGATGTGACTGCTGACAAAAGCAGCAGGATGAATTCTGCAGTGTTTCAGGCAATATTATCTGCTCATATTCAGCCAAATGCTTCAGAACACATTGGACGCCGCTTCACAGTGCAGATGGACAATGACCCAAAGCAGACTGCAAAAGCAACCAAAGAGTTTTTTTTAAGGGAAAGAAGTGGAATGTTATGCAATGGCCAAGTCAATCACCTGACCTGAATCCGATTGAGCATGCATTTCACTTGCTGAAGACAAAACTGAAGGGAAAATGCCCCAAGAACAAGCAGGAACCGAAGACAGTTGCAGTAGAGGCCTGGCAGAGCATCACCAGGGATGAAACCCAGCGTCTGGTGATGTCTATGCGTTCCAGACTTCAGGTTGTAATTGACTGCAAAGGATTTGCAACCAAGTATTAAAAAGTGAAAGTTTGATTTATGATTAATATTCTGTCCCATTACTTTTGGTCCCTTAACAAGTGGGAGACACATATGCAAACTGTTGTAATTCCTACACTGTTTCACCTGCTTTGGATGTAAATACCCTCAAATTAAAGCTGACAGTCTGCAGTTAAAGCACATCTTGTTCGTTTCATTTCAAATCCATTGTGGTGGTGTATAGAGCCAAAAATGTTAGAATTGTGTTCATGTCCCAATATTTATGGACCTGACTGTATATAAGAAAGTATTGAGATGAACTTTTGATATTGACCAAATACTTATTTTCCACCATAATTTGCAAATAAATTCTTTCCAAATCAGCCAATGTGATTGTTTGGATTTTTTTTTCTCATTTTGTCTCTCATAGTTGAGGTCTACCTATGATGCCAATTACAGGCCTCTCTCATCTTTTTAAGTGGGAGAACTTGCACAATTGGTGGCTGACTAAATACTTTTTTGCCCCACTGTATCTCTAAAGGTGCTATTGACATGAAATGTTCACCACGTCGGCAACAACTTATGCAATCCATACATACAAAAAAAACAAAAGAAATACGTTCAAAAAATAAGTTATGTGTAATAAAATGGAATGACACAGGGAAAAATTATTGAACACATGAAGAAAGGGAGGTGCAAAAAGGTATCAGTAATAGGAAAGCAATGCTTGTTAGTGCAAATTAATTTCAGCTGGTTCAGTCTCAACTGATGGCTTATAAAAAGGTGTCTCATTACCAAGGTGTCACACAGGAAATATTCCATTATGGGGAAAACTAAAGAGCTCTCTCAAAACCTTTGCAACCTTATTGTTACTGATGGCATTGGTTACAGAAGGATTCTAAACGTCTGAATGTTCCAGTGAGCACTGTTGGGGTCATAATCCGGAAGCGGCAAGAACATCATTTCACCATAAACCGACCACAGCCAGGTGCTCCTCACAAGATTTCTGACAGAGGAGTGAAAGAATTAGTCCAAAAGCCAAGGACCACTTGTGGAGAGCTTCAGAAAGACCTGGAATTAGCAGGTACAATTGTTTTAAAGAAAACTAAGTAATGCACTCAACCGCCATGGCCTGTGTGCATGCTCACCACGCAAGACTCCATTGCTGAAGAAAAAGTATGTTGAAGCTCGTTTAAAGTTTGTTGCACAATGTATAGACAAGCCTGTGAAATACTGTGAGAATATAGTCTGGTCAGATGAGACCAAAATTTAACTCGATGGATGCCAAAAAACATTCCATGTTTGGGAGGTCAAATGGCACTGCACATAATACCAACAGTAAGTTTTGGAGGTGGGAACAACAGTGGGGCTGTTTTTCAGCATACGGTACTGGCAAACGTCATGTCATTGAAGGAAGGATGAATGGAAAAATTTACCAAGACATTCTTGATAAAAATCTGCTGCCATTTACCAGATAAAGATAAAACGAGGGTGGACATTTCAGCAAGACAAGGATTCCAAACACAAGGCTAAGGAACCTCTCAATTGGTTTCAAAGAAAGAAAATAAAGCTGCTAGAATGGCCCATCCAATCACCTGACTTGAATCCAACAGAATATCTATGTAAAGAACTTAAGATCAGAGTTCATAGAAGAGACCCATGGAACCTTCAAGATTTGAAGACTGTTTGTGTGGAAGAATGGGCCAAAATCACACCCCAGCAATGCATGCGACTAGTTTCTTCATACAGGAGGCGTCTTGAAGCTGTCATTACCAACAAAGGATTTTGTACGAAGAATTAGGTAAATTTTAGTTGGCGTGTTCAATACTTTTTCCCTGTTCCATTCCATTTTATTACACATAACTTAATTTCTGAACTTATTTGTCTCTTTGTATGTATGAATTGCATGGGTTGTTACCGACATTTGGTGTAAAGTTCATGTCAATAGCACCTTTGGAAATACATTTCCTGAGAAAAATGGTGGCGTGTTCAATACTTATGTTGCCCACTGTATATGGACTTTGATTTAAGAGAGACTTCACTTTTGAACACTGTTTATTTTATTGTACATTTCTGTTTTATCCACTGGCGCTGCATCATTTCACAACATTGTACGTTTTTAGGTTTGGGTATATCAAACTTTACTTGCCAGCAGCCCCACGTGTCATCACAGAGCTGATTTATTACAATACTTAAAAAAAAAAAAAAGAAAATGTGCTAACAACCAGAAATACTGAATATGGGACAATGTGCAGCTTCACATTGCTTCCATGGTAAAGAAACTAAACATATTTTCTTTACAGGAACCCCCTCTAAAGCATAACCATCGAAACTTATACGTCAATAATGATACTATCCAGTTTTAAGAAGTTATACAGTACAAGTCAGCTAATTGTTTCCAAAACTTGGATACTAGGTAACTCAACTATTCTTGAACAAAACAGTAAATTTCAGTTCCATTTTGTTACAAGAGTACTTAACGGAAATACATTTTTCCTTTTATTTCTAAAAATAATACCTGAAACCTTCTGGTGTAGGAGTATTGAGGTGAGGGTTTGGTGGGTCACTAGGACATCGAGGCACCTTCACAGGTCTGGGACTATTGCGATGTGTAACTAATATAAAAAAATATGGTATTAGAATACAACAGAAGGAAAAGTACATACACAATATTAACATGTCACAATAATATTTCAAAGTAGTCTTTTCTTAGCAGTCTTTTTTCCTACTTGTACATCCATCAACAAATTACAACAGAATGTAGTGTAACCAAGTGCTCAAAAAATGCACAGACAAGCGTGATAACAAATTAACCTTATACCAGTATGTCTAAGCCTGCTTATAATATCTTTATGGCAAGTGTACAGCTGTGATGAACACATTAAAAAAGGATTTTAAAAAGTCAAGGATGAAAGAAGCTCTTGTTGCCAATAAAACCTTTTTGCATCACTGCCATGGAAACATAGAGACTACAATCATCTTCTATTAATCTCCCTAAAAACACACGTCTGAGCTGTTCTTCCGTTCAGCTGCAAAAATAGGGCTTGTTTATTTTTTTCCCCCCACCAGAAGTTCTTGTTTCGCTCAGTTATTGCAAACCATGAAAGGAGATACCCAAAACAGCAAAATTAAACTGAAATAAATTAATGTAAAGAACAAAAAAAAAAAAACCTAGATTTTCTTAATAACAAGAAACAAACGTGTTATAACAAAGGCAAAGAGCATATTGTCCTATACTTTTGAAGATTGATAAAGCACTACAAATAGAAGTCTTCAAGCAGCAGGAAACCAGAATTTACATTTTAAAAAAAACCATTGGGGTAAAACTAAATACACAAACTATTCTTGAGTTATTGTAAAATGTATTTGTTTGCATGATAAAGACAGACAGAAATAAAGTAACTAACCTTAACAGTCTCTTAAAGTTTAACCCATTCAAGCTTATTTAGCAAATTTAAAAAAAGTTCATTCAATCTGCATACATAAGACACAAAATCATCTGCACACGGTGATAGTTGGTGGATTAATATATAGAAGTTTTTGCAGTAATGTCAAGTATAACTGACAGACACGTTCTAAAAGTAACTGTAAGCATATAACAATAAAAGAAGTATAATCATTGCTCTTACCAAGGTACAACCCTGTTACTGGACTATGGGGTTTTCCAATAACATGGCCAATACATTCATTCATGAGAGCTTGCAAGCTCTAAAGAAAAGAGAGCACAGTGAAAATGTTGCATACAAAAAGTCTACTGCTATTACTTGCCCAAAAAAACACAGAAATTCGAAAAACAAAATGCAAGAAAATTAGTAAGTAAATATATTCATTTGTTAATTACCTGCAAATAAAATGATTAGAAACAAGGGAAATTACATTTTCAATGACATACAAAAAAAAAGAGAGTGCAACATTAATGTGCATACTATAAGTAACAAGTAAAACACTAAATGATTAAAACATTAGTGACATGCGTGATAAGAATCATATTATGAGTGCATACAGTTGTGTTCAAAATAACAGCAGTGTGTTGAAAAAAGTGAATAAAGCTCAAAATCCTTCTAATAGCTTTTATTTCCATACACACAAATGCATTGGGAACACTACACATTCTATTCCAAATCAAAACATGAAGAAAAATATATCAAATTTGTGTTCCTCTAAAAAAAAATTGAAGAAAAGTAAATATTTGACTATTCAAAAAAAATAGCAGTGTTTGTATTCTTCTTTACAAACTCAAACATTCACTATATAAACTGAAAAATGTTTGAAGATTTTGCTTTCCTTTGAATCACTTAATATTTAGTTGTGTAACCACTGTTTCTGAGAACTGCTGTACATCTGTGTTGCATGGAGTCAACCAACTTCTGGCACCTGTGAACAGGTATTCCAGCCCAGGATGATTGGACTACATTCCACAGTTCTTCTCTATTTCTTGGTTTTGCCTCAGAAACTGCATTTTTGATGTCAGCCCACAAGTTTTCTATTGGATTAAGATCCGGGGATTGGGCTTGCCACTCCATAACGTCAATCTTGTTGGTCTGGAACCAAGATGTTGCACGTTTACTGGTGTGTTTGGGGTCGTTGTTTGTTGGAACACCCATTTCAACTTCAGCATAAGGCAGCATGACTTCAAGTATTCTGATGTATTCAACCTGATCCATGATCCCTGGTATGCGATAAATAGGCCCAACACCGTAGTATGAGAAACATCTCCATATCATGATGCTTGCGCAACCATGCTTCACTGTCTTCACAGTGTACTGTGGCTTGAATTCAGCGTTTGGGGGTCGTCTGACAAACTGTCTCCAGCCACTAGACCCAAAAAGAACAATCTTACTTTCATCAGTCCACAAAATGTTGCGCCATTCCTCTTTAGGCCAGTCAATGTGCTCTTTGGCAAATTGTAACCTCTTCAGCGCGTCTTTTTTTCAACAGTGGGACTTTGCGGGGGCTTCTTGCAGATAGCTTGGCTTCACATAGGCGTCTTCTAATTGTAACAGTACTCACAGGGAACTTTAGACCTTCTTTGATCTTCCTGGAGCTGATTGTTGGCTGAGTCCTTGCCGTTTTGGCTATTCTTCTATCCATTCGAATGGTAGTTTTTCGATTTCTTCCATGTCTTTCAGGTTTTGGTTGCCATTTTAAAGCATTTGCGATCATTTTAGCTGAGCAGCCTATCATTTTCTGCACTTCTTTATATGTTTTTCCCTCTCCAATCAACTTTTTAATCAAGGTACGCTGTTCTGAGCAATGTCTGGAACGACCCATTTCCTCAGAATTTCAGAGAGAAATGCACTGTAACCAGCATGTACAACATTTGCTGCCTTCCTTCCTTAAATAAGGGCAATAATTGCCACCTGTTTTTTAAAGAATGAATGACCTCACTAATAGAACTCCACACTGCTATTATTTTGAACATGCCCCTTTCAATTAGTGATTCAATTACACAGAATCAGCAGCATGCATGTCATGACTGTTGGGTCTGTTGGATTTCTATTACTCTAATACACCTGCTAGTAAATTATTTGCCATGTAGAAATGTAATTTCTACCAAAAACAGTGATTGATCAGGTTAGTGATGCCTAACTGTATACAAATTGCAAAAAAGTAAAAAAAAAAAAAAAATCACAAATATATAGTGTCCAAAAGTGTTAAATAATAACAATGGAGTGACATCAAGTGACAAGTGAATCCTTGTCAATTCTTCCTCCTAATGTACTCCTCCCAGGGAGCCTACGTGCTGACATCATGCCGACGAGTCCATGTGATGGTCCGGCGGCCATCTTTGTAAGTGTGACTGTATTTGTTTTTATGCTCCACGTGGATGCAATTGCTTTTTATAATAAAAAATTACTACACCATAAGCAACTTCTCTTTGGCTCCAGTATGTGAGCTTTCTCCCTCCAGGATTCAGTCTTATCAGACCGGGGACCGATGTATGCCGTGGAGAAATCACATATTTTTATGTAGAGGGTTTTCCACATAGAGCCCCGCTGTTTCTGCTAAATGTCCATTCTGACCGTGGAGGGGGTTTTACCTTTTGGAGGATTTGCTGCTTGAATGCTCATTTATCCTTTGCTTCTGGTGAGTACATTAGGAGGAAGAATTGTCATGGATTCACTTATCACTTGATGTCACTCCATTATTATTATTCAACACTTTTGGACAATATATATTTGTGATTTTTTTTTTTTTTGGACTTTTTTGCTTGTCATATATGCACTCATAATATGATTCTTATCACGCATGTCACTAATCTTCATATTTTAATCATTTAGTGTTTTACTAGTTACTTATAGTATACACAATTGGAGCTGCACTCTCTTTTTTGTATATGTTTTTGTGGATGAAGTGGGTTGTCCTTTTTGTGCCAGCACCTTGTGATTTTTTTTCTTTTTGCGCTCACTACATATTTTCCACATTTCACATTTCCAATTACAGTTGAACTTCAGGCAGGGATAAAAAAAAAAAAAAAAAAAAAAAGACAAAAATGAATGCAAGCATATATTCATTTAAAAAAAAAAAAAAAAAAAAAAAAAAAAAAAAAAAAAAAAAAAAAAAAAAGGACAGCACAGTGGCTTAATGGTTACCACTTCTGTCTTTCAGCATTAGGGTCCTTAACGTGAATATTGGGCAGGGCACTATCTGCATAGTGTCTGCATGTTCTCATCCTGTACTAGTGCTGGTTTCCTTTGGATTCACTGGTTTCCTCCCACATTCCAAAGGCATGCTGGTAGGTAAATTGGCCCTAGTGTGTTATGTGAATGTGTAGTCATCAAAATATCAGGTTTTTCTCAGAGAGTTTAATAGTTATTCACAGACCACAAACAAGATGCTGGTGAAGAGGTACAGAGCCTCCTATCTACAGTCAGGTGCATGGTTCATACCATCACCATAGAAATGGCCAAACCAAGCTGAAATATGTACTCCGACAAAACATTAGGAGTTATATTTAATTCAGTTTTATTCTTGGTAAACCCTTAGGCCTGGTTCACACTATTACGGGTGGTTGCAGGTGAGGGAATTGCACCAGTTCCTGCACCCAGCAGCAGCCAAAACGCTGCTCTTTAAAAATGTGTGGGGATGCCATTCATTCTCAATGGCATCCCCACGCATCTAAAAAAACACAGAGCGTTTGTGGGTGCAGGAACTGCCGGGAAATTGCATGGTGCAAAAGCAGCTCTGCCGCTGTGTTTTAAAAAAGGTGCAGGAAACTTTTTTCCTGCATGAAATGCAGGCACAACAGCTCATTCGAATGGGCTGCCGTGTCCACGCAAATGCAATAGTGTAAACCAAGCCTTAAACTCATGTATATGTGAACAGCTTACAATTTCAAGAAAATAACTGAAACATCCAATAGGTATAGTGAACAGCAGGTCAAGTATAAATGAGGTAATGAATAAATTTGTGGATTCTTCAAATCAGTAACTGCTGGACAGCTGTGTTGCAGAAGCTATTAAAGCTTCATTAGGGGAATGATATTAATAGTTTATTAAACTTTTCAATTATTGCTTCATCTGTAGTGAAAATGTAAATATAGCCATACCAAAAAATCATCCTCTGGAAGGGCTGAAATGAATGCTGGCTCAATAGCTTGAAGATAGTCAAAACCCTGAGTTGCCCACCTGCACGGAAGAAGAAGGAGGTCTGTAAAAAGTATTCAGGGCTACTAACAAGTATATACAACATAAATGTATATGCACATGGATCCAGCAGCTCAATGATGGACCTGTATGACGGTCTCCATTTTAAATCTGCCTACTCCTGTGGTAAAATTAACAATCCCCTCAAGTGACAATCGATGGCTCTATCACTTGTCCCCCGAGATTATTCTGTCTTCCAAACAGATGAATACCTCTGCCCACTGGTGATTAAATTGTGCACAAAGTTAGTTGTTTGGCTCACTTGTGACCAATGTAATAATGCAATTATACGCAAACATCAGAATTTTGCACTTAAAGGATATGTTATCCCAACATTTCATATTCCTAATATGTACCTGTTCTACCATGTACTTTTGTTAAAAAGTATTATGTTCTCTTTGCATTGCTTCCTTTGTGTGAAATCCCTAGTGATCCTGCCAGTCCTCCTGCTTTCCTAATTCTACACTGACCATGCTAGGCATGAGAGCACAACCATCCCAGCATGGTCCGTTTTCTGGCTGTGCAGGGATCACAGCCTGTCTGTTCTCCAATGATCAGACTTGTGCTGAAATGCCCCCCTGTAGAGTCATTCAATGGGAAGATCAGTCTACTGCTTTCCTCCAACCCTAGCTCTCTACGCCCCTTATGCAGCTGAAAACAGCACACAAATGTTTTGTCTTTCATTTTAAACTGAATGGGTTGTATCAAAAAGGTATGGGTTCACAGATACTTTAACCAGACTCTAATTACTTCTTTCAAGTGTTAATCCTGTGCACCTGGCTGCCCACTAAATCTCTATGACTGGTGGTATATTTATCTTCTAAAAGACTACAAAACTCCAGATGGATGTGTTGTTCAAGTGCCACCTTCTCCCTAAGGGCCCATTCACACCTGTGCATTAGAAAACGCAATATGCATTTTCTTTGGAATGCATGGTGTTAAAATTAACCCAACACGTACATAGGGGTTGATTTACTAAAGACAAATTGGCTGTGCACTGCAAGTCCACTTGGATTGCACTGAAAGTGCAGTTTCTCTAGATCGGAGGGGAACAAGCAAGAAAAAATAAAAACAGTATTTTTGCTTACACATGGTTGGATGAAAGAAATCAGCAGAGCTTCCCCTCGGATATAAAATAACTGCACTTGCGGTGCACAGTATATTTACCTTTAGTAAATCAACCCCATAGTGTGTTTTATATGCATTTTTCATGCATATTTCTACCTCAGTCACCTGAGAAAAATGAACATGTGACTCAAAAAAATGCACTAATAAAAACCTTGTTGCAATTTTGGTGCGCAACCATTGACTATAATGGAAGGTGCGTTTTCCACAAAACGCATTAACCGTTTCAATACCGTGTGATTTTACACCTTCCTGCCCAGGCCATTTTTCAGGTTTCAGCGTTCTCACACTTTGAATGACAATTGCGCGGTCATACAACACTGTACCCAAACTAAAATTTTATCGTTTTCTTCACACAACTAGAGCTTTCTTTTGGTGGTATTTAATCACCGCTGGGGTTTTTATTTTTTGCTAAATTAACAAAAAAAAGACCAAAAATTTTGAAAAAAAAAACACATTTTTCTTTGTTTCTGTTATAAAAGTTTACAAATAAATAATTGTTCTTCATAAATTTAGGCCGAGATGTATTCTGCTACATGTCTTTGGTGAAAATAACCCAAATTAGGATGTATTTTTTAGTTTGTAGGAAAGTTATAGAGTTCACAAACTATGGTATAGATCTGAATATTGATCAATCCTGAAGTACTGACAGCCAATCTAATTTCTTGAGGTCCAAGAATGTCAGAATAGTACAGATATCCCCAAATGACCCCTTTTTGCAGAGTAGACAGTCCGACGTACTTCATAAGAGGCATGGCGAGTTTTTTGAAGTTGTATTTTTTTGTCATAATTTTTCGGAAAATGAAAAAATTAAAAAAAAATTATTCTCACAATTTTTTTTTTTTTTTTACATACTGTCACCAGTGCAGTACAGCGTCTTCATATAACTGGCATGGCGGTGAACATGGACACTGACTGGTGACAGTATGAAAAAAAAAAATATATATATATATTTTTTTTTTTTTTTATTATATTTAATTTTTTAATACATTTTTTTTTTTTTTCATATTTTACTATGACTAAAGTAGTACAATGTTACCATAGTAACATTGTACTACTTTGGGGGAGTGATCAGTATTTTTTTTTTTTTTTTTTTTATACACAGTTTGCTTATAGCAAAGAATTACTTTGCTATAAGCAAGCATTTAGCTGAATGAAATCGATTCATTCAGCTTTTTTTTTTTTTTTTTTTGTGCTTAGCTGTGATTTGGTCACAGCTAATCACATGACATGTGCATGTGACCTGCTGTGACCATTCACAGCTAGGCACTAGTATACAATGGATGGCATCATGAATGAAGCCATCCATTGTATACAACTATCATGTGACCTGCTGTGATTGGTCACAGCAGGTCACATGGTACCAGCTACGGGAGCCGGTACTCGGATCTGTTATCGGCCGTGTCCGAGGTGCATGGCCCGTGACAGATCCCCGCTGCTGCGCCGCTCTGCTGTGCCGCAAACTGCGCATGTGCGGGACCATGCCAAATGGCGTGCACCCGGAATTTAAGAGCGCATTTCAAGCCGCCAAACGGCCATTGGCCGGGCGGCTAATGGTTAAAGATGCAGCAAGCAGGACTTTTCAGAAACATGGTACACTGTATAAAAATGCAGCACACAGATAAATAACCACGCCCACAAGCCATCTGAGAAGCCTGACAATATGACTGTAGGGTTTATATTTGTGTCTAGGCCCCACTTATCACTTGAGGAGTCCTGGTAAATATGAAATGTGATCATCCACTTTAGTGTTATGGTTTAAATATACTTTAAGAACAGCCTGGTAAACATGCAAAAAGAATAAAGAGCAACAACATTAAAAATGTCATTCACATGCAATATGTTCTAATTACCCAAGTAAAGAAAACGATTTGTAAATGTAAAAATTAAATATTTATTTTGAATACCAAAGAAAAGAAAATCTGATCAACGTAGCTTACTTTAAGGGTTCATGCACAGGGAGATGTATGAGCATTTTATATGCATACAGCCTGCCATATGAATGCATGGCTGTATGTGGCCAGATTCTTGTAAATGCTGATATTATTTTTTTTTTTTTATCAGCGCTTACTCGTGCATGTCTGTCTGACGTATTTTGTGTTTGAGAAATGTGCTAGGTTCTCATGTGTGGGTAAACGCTTACGCAAAGAATTGTATACAGCACCTGCAGCTCCCCAGGTGCATGAAGACTGTTGGGAAATTTACACTTCGCATATAAAATGCCTAGAATTCACTATGTGCATAAACCCTAAGAGTCTATACCTGAAACACCTTGATCTCAGTGGATCAACTAGTTAATAGTTTACCTTGGTCTGGTGCCACGCCCGCTTTCACATTTTGTCAAAACATAGTTCATCCATTTCCTGGCAAAGCTTATGTATTTGTCACCAATTTTCTGCCTGAATTGTCCAGACATCAGACGGACTACTTCTTTATGATACTTGAAGATTAAAAAAAGAAACATAAAAACATTACTTCAGAAATTTTGAAGAATGAGAATTCATAATTTTTAGACTTCCCTTTGTGCTCCTCCAAGTTAGTTGCTTTCTAGATGGTAAAAATAAATTCAGTTCAAATTCAGCCCCCATGCTTGGAATAGCAGGTAAAAGGCTACTCTAACACATGTACCGTGTTTGAGGAAAACATGTGTTTCCCCAAGTGCATGAAATAGAATGCATAAAGCAGCATTCATTAATACCCACTTAATCCCTAAATGGAACATTAACCACTTGCCACCTGGGCCAATTCTGACTGCATTTCAATTTGGAGTTTCAAGGGGACTTCTCTTTGCATCAAATGATCAGCTTTTGTATTAAATATCCTGGGTTGGTCAGACCTGACCAAATTAGCAGTCTTGTGAAAATTACATTACTTGAAGATTATATTACTCTTAGTAGGATGACCGATTTCAAATTATCTGGTGATCTTCTTAAGTCCCTTGCCACTCTCATAGGCATTTTCTTTTTTTTTAAGCATCTTAGTGAGTTCTATTGATATTAACATGATGACACTGCACAGGTCAATAATGAAGAGAACACCAGACCTTAGATGCATCAAGTTTAAATAAATAAGACAGGACCCCTGCATGCTCCTTAATGAGGTACTAATCATCAGCACCTTGCTCGGTATGCCAGATTATACATTTCATAGATTTGATGTGGTGGTAAATGTAGAGGCGTGCATGCAGTGAGTATAGAAAAGAAACACCCCCTTTAAAATAATCACATTTTGTTGCTTTGCAGCCTGAAATGAAGACAGTTTTTGTTTTATCCTACTGTATTTACACAGTGCAACTTATAACATCCAAGTGAAAGATATAACACCAACATTTCAGAAAAAAAAAAATTCAAGAAACAGAATCATTGAGTTGGTAAAAGGGTCACTCTCTTGTGTCAGTATGTTGTTGAACCACCTTTTGCTTTACTTACAGCCTTTAGAGTGGATTCACACATGTACGGTGTGGATTGACGCTCAGGTTTCTTAGCTAAATGACAGTAGTTGTTCAGCGGTTCAGGTCAGGACTTTATCCTGTTCACACATATGCAGTTTTGAAATGGTTTCCATAGAAGTCAATAGCCTGCAATCCGCACCTGAACTAGACTGCACTGCTCAGAAATTGGACATAACTCTTCAATCCGTACTGAATTATCACTGACAGTGCACAGGACATTTGTAAACAGGCACCACAGGAAGCAATGTTATTTCACTTGTCATGCGGATTGGATGTGGACTGGACATATGTGAACATATGTGACATATGTGAACCGGCACTTATTCTGTTGGGATATGTTTCTATTAACTTTACACATCTAGACTTTGCAATATTTACCCACTCTTCTTTGGAGAACTGTTCAAGTTCAGATTTGATGATGACTGTTTGTGGACTGCAGTCTTCAAGTCATTCCACAGAGTTTCAATGAGGTTTACGTCTGGGCTTTGACTAGGCCACGCAAAGACCTTAGAATCTTCAAGATGTTTTTGGCAAAGCTCAGTCATGATTGCAGGTGGCCTTTCTTGAGGAGTGGCTTTTCTCCTGCAACCCTCCCATACAAGCTACATTTGTGGAGAATTTGTGATTGTTGTAACATGCACACAATGACCATTCTTTGTCATAAATTCCTGCAACTGCTTCAGAGTTGCTGTAGGCCTCTTGGTAGCCTCTCTGACCAGTTTCTTCCTGGCTCGTTCATTCAGTTTGGAGTGATGTCCTGATCCAGGGAGGGTCTGTGTTGTACTAAATATCTTCCACTTCTTAAGAACAGACTGTACTGTGCTTCTAGGCATTGATAAAGCCTTTTTAATTTTTTTCGTACCTATCTCCTGACATTAGCCTGTCCACAATTTTATCCAGGAGATCTTTTGACAGTGCCTTTCCACCCATAATTGATTGTTTCCTTCAGTTGCACTACAATGAAATGCTCCAGGAAAGCTCTTTGCATGCTGAGCTAATCAAAATGACCACAGCAGATCACACTTGAAAGTCAAATGGCTTTGTTTGCCATTGAGAAGGTGATGAGCTGCACCTGATTGGGTTTACACGTAATTTTTTTTAGGAGTGGGTAATCCAACTCCGTGATTCTGTTTTTTAATTTTTTTTTCTGACATGTTGGTGGTATCTTTCACTTCGATGTTATAGGTTGCACTGAGTAAATACAGCTGAATAAAACAAAAACTGTGTATCCTTATTACAGGCTGCAGAGCAACAAAATAAGATTATTTTAAAGGGGGGGGGGGGGTGATTCTTTTCTGTACCCACTGTACTTTTACCCTATAAAAATGTTCATTTTTATTCATTTACATTATGACAATGAATGCACATGTCATTTGTAAGTCACCTTGATCTGCAAGAACGACTTGAGAATCTAATATGTTTGTCTGTACAGACATACAGTAAAAAGCCTAAAATCTAAAAAAATAAATAAATAAAAAGACACATATTCCCAATCAGACATCCAGAAAGTTCAAGTACTGAATATTGTGTCAAAAGCACAACATAACAAATTAGTGGTCACTAAGGGATATAAAATTTTACCTCGAAACCAAAGTTGTAGCCTTGAATCATTGCTTCTCGGTAGTACTGCTGTAATGTGGAGGATTCGGATTCATCAACCTCGGCTTCAAACTCGGAGGTGTACATTTCATCCACTCGATCTATAGCATCGCTAATCTTGTTGCAGAGTTCCAATGCATCACTCTAATATGAAATTAATTTGAACATGATTTTTGAGCAAACCTATTTTGTAACCAAGCAATATTGACATTTGTGAATTTTGAATATACAACGTGAAAAAAACATTCAACTAATGATTTACAGTTCAGAAACAAAAACTGCAGGTCAAGTAAAGGAAAAAAAAAAAAGCTGTTAGATACAATGCAAAATAATGTGACAGAATAGAAGAATCACCCACCTTTAAAATACAGAATGGCACTGTATTAAAACATATTTAAAGGCTAAGTTCACCTTTGGGGAAAAAAAAAATAATAAGTGTACATATTTTTGCTTAAAAAATTGCATCCCCCCCAAGGAGCCCACAAAGCATTGCACTCACAATCATTGGATCATGGGTGATATCTGACTCCTGCTGACAAGGAGTTCATCAATCCTTCACAGTTCATTAAGAACTACAAGCTGTCTGCCAGGGTGGCAGATGGGACTTGTCGTTTTCTTTTCACAGATTGCTGTGAATGACTGAAGTGGTTTTGTGGGAGGAGACCTGCACAGTTGCACCAATTTTTAAATGTGACAGCAGGTGTGGGGAGTAAAACATATCCTTTAAATTTCTATCTTTTTTTTTTTTTTTTTTACCACTTTACAGTTTTTTTTTAAACATTTCCCATTTTTTAAGGCAGTAGTAACTTTAGACATTAAAGTATCTGTTACTATTAGGTGTCTAGCCAGCAGCAAACATTAGTGAGAATCTGGCTGACTGATATAGAAAACATGTTAATATTCTGGTAATCCACATACCGTATTTTTCACTCCATAAGACGCACCTGACCATAAGATGCGCCCAGGTTTTAGAGGAGAAAAACAAGAAAAAAAAATATCCTGAACCAATGGACTGCAGACACAGTACAGGACAAGGAGAGACTGCGGACACAGTACAGGACAAGGACCAGAGACTGCGGACACACAGTACAGGACAAGGACCAGAGAACTGCGGACACAGTACAAGACAAGGACCAGAGACTGCGGACACAGTACAGGACAAGGACAGAGACTGCGGACACAGTACAGGACAAGGACCAGAGACTGCGGACACAGTACAGGACAAGGACCAGAGACTGCGGACACAGTACAGGACAAGGACCAGAGACTGCGGACACAGTACAGGACAAGGACCAGAGACTGCGGACACAGTACAGGACAAGGACCAGAGACTGCGGACACAGTACAGGACAAGGACCAGAGACTGCGGACACAGTACAGGACAAGGACCAGAGACTGCGGACACAGTACAGGACAAGGACCAGAGACTGCGGACACAGTACAGGAGAAGGACCAGAGACTGCGGACACAGTACAGGAGATGACCAGAGACTGCGGACACAGTACAGGAGATGACCAGAGACTACGGACACAGTACAGGAGATGACCAGAGACTGCAGACACAGTACAGGAGATGACCAGAGACTGCGGACACAGTACAGGAGATGACCAGAGACTGCGGACACAGTACAGGAGATAGACCAGAGACTATGGACACAGTACAGGAGATGACCAGAGACTGCGGACACAGTACAGGAGATGACCAGAGACTGTGGACAGTAGGGGATGACCAGAGACTGCGGACAGTACAGGGGATGACCAGAGACTGCGGACAGTACAGGGGATGACCAGAGACTGCGGACAGTACAGGGGATGACCAGAGACTGCGGACAGTACAGATGACCAGAGATTGTGGACAGTACAGGGCATATCCAGACACTGCGGACCTTTAGGGAGGGAGGGGGAGCGGGCACCTGAATTAGACAGGTACCCGCTCCCACATCCACGGAGTTCTCCTTCCTATACAGTGGGCACCCGACTTTGACAGCCGGGTGCCCACTGCGCATGCGTGAGAAGCGCTGCGCTTTGTGAATGGCCCGGCGTCTTTTGGGACCTGTCATGTGTCCCAGAAGACACAGACCATTCACAAAGTGCAGCGCTTATCGCGCATGCGCAGTGGGCCCAGCTGTCACAGATGCCGGGGCGGGAAGAAGCCGGCACGGGAAGACTACAGCGCTGGACCGAAGAGCAGGTGAGTTTCTGCCACAGAGAACAGCTGAGCGGCCGGCCCAGTATTCTAACATGGTGACGGCGGAAATACCGGACCGGCCGCTTTATATTCGCTCCATAAGACGCACTGACATTTTCCCCCCTTTTTTGGGGGGAAAAAAGTATGTCTTATGGAGCGAAAAATGCCGGTTGTGGTGAATGTTACACTTTTATTATCCTTCAAACTTAATGGTTTTTCCGCCTCATATACAGTAAAATCAATCCTAGTACTTGTTGAAAAAGTCATAAAAGAGATTTAAAAGGGTCATGTGAACCAATTTTGATGGTTATGTATAGTGATGAGCAAGCTCACCAGGCACTTAGCCAATCATCTGAGGCTAGGGCATTCCCTTCCCTGCAGCCCAGCATATACAATGGGCGTATATACATGTAGCTTTGGGGCAGGAGAATGCCTTGGTCACTTATAATTAGCCCAGTACAGTGCCAGCTTTCTTTTTCCCAACATGTCTTAAGGCCATATGTACACTGAAGATTTGTTCAGCTCCCTTGAACGCTTTTTCCCCTGGCAGGAGAAAAGCTGCTCACAAAATGTTCCTAAAGCCTCATTTTGCAGGCATGTTTAGACATGTTCAGGCGCGTCAAGCGCTTGAGCATTAACGGTTTTCATTGGCCAGAATATTATTTTATTCTGGCCACTGGAATGAATGAATGCCCAAGTGCTAAATGCATCTAGCGTTTAGATGTGTTTAGATGCTTTACTTGTGTCATGTTTTTTTCTGCTCAAATGTTCCTCTCAACATACCAGTGACTTTTTTTTCAGCCTGTAAATGCTCCTGTTCTAATACGCCTGTAAATGCTTATGTGTGCATGGACACATAAGCTAACATAGAGATGCTTTTACAGGTTGAAACAAAAAAAAAAAAAAATCAAACGCCTGTAGGAGAGCCCAGTGTGCATGAGCCCTAATGCATCTGTAATTAACAAAGAATACTGTCCCATTATACATAAGTAATGTAATTTTTTTACCTTGAGTTGACGCAAAGCTTCTGCAATCACAGGGTGACTTGATGTCTGTTCAAGCCTTAGCGATAAGATATCTTCTACAGACTGCTGGAAGGCCTTTCTATGGTTTGTTAAGATGGAAGACTGCATCACCACAAGTAACAGATTGTCGACCTTGTGGGTAAGATAAGCAAGAAAAAAATGATTTACATATACATTATGCCAAAACTTGAATGTTATATACAGATTTTAACTTGATGACAAAGTTATGCCAGTAATTTTGGTCAATTGAGATATAAAATGCTAAGGATCTTTCAGATTACAAGGAATCAAGGGAAAAATGGTGGCAATTTAAAAGTGGGGTATTTTTTATTGAAATCTGTGTCCCCATTGAAGAGATTCTTGTCTTGGTGATCTCCATCATGGAGACAGAATATAAGGAGAAATCTTCCTCAATAGCTAGAAAGAAAGAAAGACTTGATCTAACACTTCCCCATTCTATGCAAAACCAACAGAAATTGTCTGACTCCATTTTAAAATAAGTTTCCTTATTACTGTAATGCTTATTGTGAAGTTTTGAATTGCAAGTCACTTAGTGTATTTTAATAGTGCCTATTTACACTTGTGCAATTTTTCTGTTTCAATATTTTTATTAAGAAAGTTTTGTTTTTAAGAATATAACAAGCTCAAAATACGTCCTCGCAGGGGCAGAGCAGAACAATAACACATAAACAGAGACATCCTGCTGACATGTATTAGTCAAATAATGAAATGTCCAATGACATCAAAAAGAGACGCAAAAAGCCGAACCAAATAGCAGCAGTAATCCAACATAATATCGAAAAAAGAAGAGAAAAGAAAAAAGGTTAGAAGAAAAGAAAACAAAAGGGAATCAGAAAGGTAACACGAAAGAAGGGAAACTAGAAGGATCACGGATACGGGGCTAGCACAGGCAGTGACTATAGGAGGCCATAACTAGTAGGAGGCAGTGATGGCAAGGAATAACGTATCCAAGCTTCCCAAACCTTAAGGAATCTCGGATGAGAATCATGAAGAATGCTAGACATTTGTTCATTGAACAACATAGCATTCATCCGGGTCTTCACCCCCTGGAAGACAACCGAAGGGGTTCTCCAAGCTTGAGCTATAGAACGTTTGGCCCACACTTGTGCAATTTTAAAAAGGAGCCTTTTTATAACGATACCGTAAAACCTATTCCTTGGAGTCTATTGAGGGACATAATTCAGAAATAGGTTATTCTGCTCTTTACAGGAAATCTAGCTGGCAAACAGGAAAATTGTAAGCCAGCCCCTGTGTAACTCCTTTTCTACCCAGCATACCTCAGTTTTGTATAATACAAAAAAGAATTCTGGACCAAAACCGAAAATTCAGAATGCACTAGGTCAAAAACCCAAATGGACAGTTTTTGTAAAATAATACATTTTATATATAATTGTATTATATTTGACTTTTTAATTAATATCATGAATTTAAGGGAATATGAATTTTAAAAATACAATTCAGTAACTTAAAATAACTTTTATTAAAAGTAACACAAGAATTGGACAGAAAATACAATGAAATCTATATAAAATTAAAAAACCTAAATAGATGCATTTTTGCATTGGAGTCAATAGGGGGCGCTTTTGCAGTAAAGTCAACGGGACGTGATTTTGCATTGAAGTCAATAAGGGCCGTTTCTGCCCTGAAGTCATGGGACGCAATTTTGCATGAAGTCAATTATCATTATCGGCACTTTTTTTAATTGGCATGACGCCGATAACCCTATTTGTGCTCAATATATTGGTGGATCTCTATAAAAAACAAAACAAAGCAGCACTGGGGCAAGCAAAAACAGAAAACGGGTGGAACTTGTGTCCCTTAATGATCTTCAAGAAATTAGATTTTACAGTTATCAAAAAAATTTATTTTCTTTCGTGTCCAATAAGGGACACAGGAATTCAGAAACAGTCACTCAGGACTACCTGAAGTACCCAAAATCGGGAAAACGGCAAGATTGAGATTCCCAGAAGAATTAAGTTGCTTTAGACCTAATTTTCTACAGAAGTCAATGGACATTATGGGGTGGTCAGGGGAGTCTTCTCAGCGTTCAAGGCCGAAAAATAAATGTGTGTGGGGTGAGGGGGTTGAGAGAAGGGGGGGGGGGGGGTGACCCTCCCGTTTTGGTTTTTTATTCACCCCCTTCTCCCCCAGCTCTCTTTCCCCACGCTGGGTTTGTAGGTCTCATGTATGGAGAAATCAGGAGGGTTAGATGGGCAGTAGGAATCGGGCAGATGATGAGAAGGTGAGGGCGGGCCACCTTGAGGCTGAATGCGCTGCCAAACTCTAGATCCCCATGTTTTAAGATGGGGAGCGGAGTGGGCGTGCGTGTTTAGAGCCCCAACCCAATAAAGGAATCACCAGTGGGAAGGTCCCACGACAGATTCAAGGGCAAAACTTAGGCCCAAGGGTTCAGGGGAGGGGGGGGGGTGTGGGAGTATTTCAGGGGGGGGGGGGGGGGGGGTGAAATAGATCTGCTAGCAATTACTCTCTTGCTACAAATGGGGGGGGGGGGGGGGTAGAGAGGGATGGGGAGGGAGAATTATACAGGAGATTGCCCCTTTCAAAAGTCAACGATACCCCTGGTTTGCAGGACAAAAAAAGAGAGTGAGAGAAGAAAAAAAAATATATATATATACCAGAGAGATTGAGGAGGTCAAGTTTATAAAACTTATAATGTTAAGGGACTGAATATACCAGGAAAAAGGCATAAGATCCTTATAGAATTACAACAATGATCTATTGAAGTAGCATTTTTACAGGAAACAAATGTAAAATTATATTCTAGATATTACCCAACCTGATATTATGCCGATTCACCTACCAAGTGGGCTAAAGGAGTGGAAATTGGTATAGCTAAGAATTCAAGATTTAAGCTGGAGGATCCTGAGGGGCGGTATTTGTTTCTGAAGGAAAGATTACACGACATTAAGTGCACATTGGCAAATACTTACTGCCCCAACAGAAATCCGGAGGCCTACCTTAACCACCTCCCGCCCACCATATAAAGAAATGACGGGCGCAAGGTGGTTCTCTCAGTCTGGTAGGATGTCATATGATGTCCTCTCACTCTGCCACATGTGCGCCCCCAGGGGCACGCACGCGCAGTTAATCGGTGGTGTGCTGTGTCCCTGGGACACAGCGGATCACCGATCAGCGGAAAAAAAAAACCGATGACTTTGGCTCTGTCATGTGATCAGCTGTGTCCATTCACAACTGATAGCATGTAAATAAGGAAATTACGTTTATCGGCATTTTTCTCTCCTCGCGAGCTGTCAGCGTGACAGCTCATGAGGAGAGGAGAGCCGGTAAATGGTATTCCTCAAAGGGGACACCTACACTGATCATCGGGGCACTGATGATCAGTACCCTGATGATCAGTGTAGCCCCATCAGTGTCCATCAATGCCACTTGTCAGTGCCTACCAGTGCACATCAATGCCACATATCAGTGCCCATCTGAGCTACCTTTCAGTGCCAACTATTAGTGCCAGTCAGTGCCAGTCGATCACACCTATCAGTGCCACATACGAGTACTGTCTTTCAGTGCCCATCAGTGATGTCTGTGAATGCCCACCAATGATTCCTGTCAATGCCCATTAGTGCCACCTACCAGTGCCTCCCCATCAGTGCTGCATATCAGTGGCCATCAGTGCAGCCTATCAGTGCCCATCACGGCAGCTTCATTAGCGCACATCAGTGAAGGAGAAAAAATTACTGATTTACAAAATTTTATAACAAACTAAGAAAAAAAACTTTTTTTCAAAATTTTCAGTTGTTTTTGGTTTGTCCAAAAAATAAAAACCCAGTGGTGATTGAATACCCCATCCGTTTTAAAAAAAATAATAAAATTTTCATATGGGTACAGTGTTGCATGACCACGCAATTGTCATTCAACATGTGACAGCACTGAAAGCTGAAAATTGTCCTGGGCAGAAGGGGGTGAAAGTGTCCAGTAGGCAAGTGGTTAAGAATATACTCGTAAAATTGTTGGATTTAAAAAAAAAACAGGCAAATAGATTATGGCAGGGGATTTTAACTTCTGCATAGATCCGCAGGTTGACACAACGTCGTATGTGCAGGGAGAGGAAGGCAGAAGTCGGAAGGCAATGCGAAGAATGGTATATCAGTGTCAATTAGTAGATATCTGGAGGATTAAACATCCTAGAGATAGGGACTATACGTTCTACTCTCCGGCCCACGTGACATATTCAAGATTAGATTATATTTGTTGGAACATAGATTACTGGAGTCATTGGTTAAGGTCAATATAGACGTTACAACATTATCGGATCATGCACCAGTTACAACAAAATTCTATTAATGTGCTTTCATACAGCACTTTGGGAACATCCAACTTCTTTTGCAATTACCTTTTGAGGCTTTCCCTCCTTATGGAGGGTGTCAATGATGGTTTTCTGCACAACTGTCAGGTCAGCAGTCTTTCCCATGATTGTGATTCCTACTGAACCAGACTGAGAGACCATTTAAAGGCTCAGGAACCCTTTGCAGGTGTTATGGCTTAATTAGCGGATTAGAGTGGGACACTTTGAGCCTAGAATATTGCACCTTTTCACAATATTCAAATTTTCTGAGATTGTGGATTTGGGGTTTTCATGAGCTGTAAGCCATAATCATCACAATGATGACAAATCACGACTTGAACTAACTTGCTTTGCATGTAATGAGTCTATCTCATATATTAGTTTCACCTTTTAAGTTGCATTACTGAAATAAATGAACTTTTGCACGATATTCTAATTTTTCAAGTTTCACCTGTACAGTGAGATATTACAAAAAATTTCAAGAACTAGTCCCCAAATTGAGGATATATATGAATGCATTAGGAGAAGGAATGAAGATGAGGGAGGAGTCATTACAAGCATATATTACGCTCATATTAAAAGAGGGGATAGATGAGACCCAATGTGCTAGTTATTGGCCTATTTCACTGTTAAATACAGATACTAAACGGTTTGCAAAAGGTACTAGTAACCAGATTGAAAGATCTAATGTCCGAGTGGATTGATCTGGACCAAGTGGGATTTGTTCCCTGGAGGGAGGGAAGAGACAATGGGTTAAGGTCATTACTCCTTATACAGAAAAGTAAGAGAG